CTCAGTGCTGTTGTTACAATCATTAATGTTACATATTTTGAAACATTTCGCTCACTTGCAGCAGTTGATGTTCGTTCTTGCATGATGTGTATTCAAGAGTCTGTTAATTCAGTTTGTTTTGAAATAAAAAATATTTTTCGCTAATAAAATGCAAATATTTACATCAGCCTGTCTACACAAAAAGAGAAAAGAGAGTATGACTTTTAATCATGATTGTCATTTTTCATTTCCATCTCTTGTCTTGACTTGTTTTGTTTCATTTCTTACACATCTTTCGTTCTCTCTTTTTTGTGTCTTTCTATATTTCCCCTTTCTCTCTGTTTCCGTTCATCTTTCTTTTCGTGTCTTTCTGCCTCTGCTTCATCCCCTTCTCTTCCCTATCTGTTACTTCTTTCTTTCTGTCTCTCTTTTTCTCTCTCTCTCTTCTCGTCTCTCTCTAAACAAATCGTATCTCTCCCCCATTCTTTCCTTCCCTTCCCACGATCCCTCCACTCCCCTCTCCCTTTCTTTTCACTCCCACTACTCTCCCTCTCTCTCGCTGCCTCGTCCACACATAACTCTCACCCACGCCTCACTCTATTCCTGCCCCCCTCACACATACACACACACACACCAACACACACACATTAACACACAACCCCACCTCTCTCTCTTCACAAACACAACACACAACACTCACACACCCATCACCCCATCTCCTCTCACACTACTTACTCCAACATCCACATGCAACCATCCATCACTAACACCCACGTCTCTTCTTCTCTCTCCACACACTACCATCTCACACACAATCCTCCTCTATCCCACTCATATCTCATCATCACTCTCTTCTCTTCTTCTTCGCATTCGTCTCTTCGTATCTCACGCATATAAAGATGACAAGCGAGTGATGATGAGAAATACAAAGGCTATATACAACACCAGACGCTAGAACCCACGTCATCAGACTTCAGACTTATATATCCAGTGTAAAGATGATCGGGGGAATGGGGAAAGGAGACAGCAGGTAGATACTACGATGGGCGACACTTCGATGGACACGGTGTAGAACACAGCTGGAAGAATGAGGCTTGGTTCAGTAGACGAGAAGGGAGATAACAGAAGCAGCGAGAAGGCATGGGGACGGAGGAATAGGCGCAGATAAAAGGGGAGAGAAGGAGGGTAGACAGACAAATAATTAGTCAAGGCACGAGGAAAAGGGTGAAGCATCAATTACGTCGGGATAAGATAGATCTACAGGAAGCAGAGAGAAGGACAAGAAAAGCGATTGCACACGCAAGGATAGGACAAGCCAGAAGGAAAGGGAAGAAGTAAAGGTTGAGATTAAGATTGCGGAGATCCCAGCTAATCCTCCTCTCCCTACGCGAAAGGGAAATTCAGAGATGGGCGATACCGCACGATTCGCAATCGGTTACGCAAACGCTGGTACAAGGATGGGTAGGAGGAAGGGAAAAAGATGGGGAAGAGGAAGGAGAAAGTGGAGAAGGATGGAGAGGAGGAAGGGAGGAGAAGACGAGTTGAGTGAGGAGTTGGAAGAGAGTGAAAAGCTTTAGCAGGAGGAAGGATGGTAGAATGAAGTGAGGAAGAATAGAGAGAGGAAGAAATGAGTGAGGTGAAATTGTGTGTGACGTGTGGGGGATAGGGAGAAAGACATGAGGAAAGTAGAAAGGGAAAAGAAAGGCAAAAATAGAGATGGGAGGGTTGATGAACGGCGAGCGAGAAAGAGGAGAGGAGGAAGATCAAAAGAGGAGATACGAAAATAGAGAAGGGAGGAAGGAGGGAGTAAGGGAATACGAGGGGGAAAAAGGCGAAATGAGAGAACAAGATAGACATAGAAATAAAAAGAAATGGAGAGAGTTGATGTACAGAGAAAGAAGAATGAAAGGGAAAAGAAGGCGAAGGGAAAAGAGAAACGAAAGAAGTGAATGAAACGAAGTGGATAGGACAGGAGTTCAAGCGAAATGGAGATAAAAAAGAAGTACAAGGTAAACAGAATGGAAACGAGGAAGCGAAAGAGAGAGACACAGGGAAGGGGTGAAGGAAAGACCAGAAAAAATGTTGGTCAATAATAGTAAGAATAAGCAAAATTAACGAATATGAGAATCGAAGAGAAAAATAATGAGAGAAATATGATAGATTGATAGGGAAGAAACGAGAATGAGAATATGGAGAAAAAGAGCAGGAACTAGGGTGAGGGAAGGAATATAATAAAATAGAGAAAAGAGAGATTGTGTAAAAGAGAGAGAGCGAAGGGGGGGGGGGGGGTACAAGAAATAGAGGAAAGAGAAGGGCAAGAGAGAATGTGACGGGGGGCGGGGGGCAAGGGAGATGGAACAGGCGAAAAGAATGAAAAGAAGATTGAGAATGACACTTGACAAATGTGACTACAGGGGGATGGCCTCCTTATAATGGGAGGTTTTAAGGGCAAGGTGGAAAGACTATGTGAGAGAGGAAGAGAGAATATAGACAGATAGATACACAGGTAGAGATAGATAGATAGATGGAGAGAGAGAGAGAGAAGAGAGAGAGAAGAGAGGAGAGGAGAGAGAGAGAGAGAGAGGAGAGAGAGAGAAGAGAGAGAGAGAGAAGAGAGAGAGAGAGAGAGAGAGAGAGAGAGAGAGAGAGAGAGATAGAGCAGGTAGCAGACAGAGAGAGAGAGCAGAGAAAAGAGAGAGAGAAGAGGACAGACAGACAGACAGACAGACAGACAGACAGACAGACAGACAGACAGACAGACAGACAGACAGACCAAGTTTAGACAGAGAGAGAGAAGAGAGAGAGAGAAGAGAGAGAGAGAGAGAAGAGAGAGAGAGAGAGAAGAGAGAGAGAGAGAGAGAGGAAGAGAGAAGAGAGGGATAAGAGAGAAGAAAAGAGAAGATAAGAAGAATAGAGAGAGATAGAGAGAGAGAGAGAGAGAGAGAGAGAGAGAGAGAGAGAGAGAGAGAGAAGAGAGAGAGAGAGAGAGAAGAAGGAGAGAAGACCTAAGAGAAAGAGAAAGAGAGATAAAGATAGATGATAGATAGATAAAGAGAGAGGAGAGAGAGGAGAGAGAAGAAGAGAAGAGAGAGAGAGAGAGAGAAAGAGAGAGAAGAGAGAGAGAGAGAGAGAGAGAACAGAGGACGAGAGAGAAAAATGAAGAGACTCTGGAGGAGACTTTGGGGAAGGGAGAGAAAGAAAGATAAAGAGGAAGTGAGAGAGAGAGAGAGAGAAAGAGAAAGAGAAAGAGAAAGAGAAAGAGAGAGAGACAGACAAATAGAGAAATTATGTATCAATAAGACGAAAGGAATGATTCCATGAAAAAGAAAATGTAAATAAATTCTTAAGAGAGGAGGAGGAGAAAATGGAGTAAAAACATGGGAAGAAGAAGGAAGAAGGGGAAGTCGAAGAAATACGAGGAAATGGAACAAAATGTAAGAAGACGAAGGAAAAGGAGGAGAGGGAGGAGAAAGAACAGGCGGAGGATAAGAAAGGGGGAGATAAAGGAGGAGGAAGTTGGGGAGGAAGAACGGAAGAGGAAGGAGAGGGAAAAAAAGAAACGAAGGGTAAAAAAGAGGAGGGGGAAGAGTATGAGAAGACAGCGAAAGAGGTCGGAGGAAAAAGTTCAAGTATAATAAAATGAAAAAGGAGAAGGAAAAAGAGGAAGGAGGAGACGGAGGAAAAGGAAGGTAGGGAGAAAGAGTTGGAGAACAAGGAAGAACAGGAGAAGCAGAGGATGGAGGAGAAAGAAAGAAAGGAAAAGCAGGGGATGGATAAGAAGGAAGAACAGGAGGAGGATATGGAGAAGAAGGAAGAAAAGGAGAAGGAGAAGAAGAAGATGGAGGAGAAGGAAGAAAAGAAGAAGCGGGAAATGGCGGAGAAGAAAGAAGGAGGAGATAGAGAAGAAGGAAGGACATGAGAAGGAGGAGATGGAGAAGAAGGAAGAACAGGAGAAGGAGGAGAAGGAAGAAAATGAGAAGGAGGAAATGAAGAAGATGGGAGAACAGGAGAAGCAGGAGAATGAGAAGGAGGAGATGAAGAAGAAGGAAGAAAATGAAAAGGAGAAGCAGAAGATGGAGTGGAAGGAGAAGGAGGAAAAGGAGTAGAAGGAGGAGAAGGAAGAAAAGGAGAAGAGAAAAAAGGGGAAACAGGAGATGAGTAAGGAGGAGAAGGAGAAAGGAGTAGAAGGGGGAAAAGGAAGAAAAGGGGAAACAGGAGATGGAGTAGAATGATGAGAAGCACGAAAAGGAGTAGAAGGAGGAGAAGGAAGAAAAGGAGAAGGGAAAAAAGGGGAAACAGGAGATGGAGTAGAAGAAGGAGAAGGAAGAAAAGGAGGAGGAGGCGAAGGAAGACGCCAGGCCCCGCGCGGTAGATGCAGAGTGACGAGCCCTGAGGGAGCACCCGGACATTCCTCGCCGTGAAGGAGCGGAGGCGGCAGGGAGGCGCCACTCCCTCCCTCCTCATCATGTCGTTGTGGCTTTAGGGGGCCTCGCGAACCCGGGGGTTTTAAAGCCCTTTTAGCTCCGAGATTATTTCCCCTTAAAGCCCGAGACGAGAGAAGGGGCGTGGGGAGGAAGGGGTTAGGGGGAGGAATAGGGTGGGGAGGGAGGGAGGTAAAGGGAGGAAAAGGGATTGGGAGGGGAAGGGGGAATAGGGGGAGGAGGAATAGGGGTGAGGGGGGGAGGGGAGGAAAAGGGAGGGGAGGGAAGGGAGGGAGAATAGGGTGGGGAGGGGGGAGGAGGAATAGGGGTGGGAGGGGAGGGGAGGAGGTAAGGGGAGGAAAGGGAGGGGAGGGAGGGAGGGAGGGAATAGGGGTGGGGAGGGAGGGAGGCGGAGGAATAGGGGTGGGGGAGGTGTGGAGAAGAGAGAGAGAGAGAGAGAGAGAGACTGTTGGCACTCACAGTTTATCCCGGAAAATCTAATGATCCGAGGAAAAGTGAGAAGAGAGAAGGAAAAAGGAGAGAGAAAAGAGGAAAGGAGCTTCGTTTTATAAATACGTAGAAGGGGTAAACACTTTAGCGTCAGTTCGCTTCTTCCTGATTGGTGTCGCCTGCTCGCCATGTCTTTAGGGAATGTCTTCTGGGAATGTCTTCTGGGAATGTCTTCTGGGAATGTCTTCTGGAAATGTCTTCTGGGAATGTCTTCTGGGAATGTCTTCTGGAATGTCTTCTGGGAATGTCTTCTCGGGAATGTCTTCTGGGAATGTCTTCTGGGAATGTCTTCTGGGAATCCCTTCTGGGAATGTCTTCTGGGAATGTCTTCTGGGAATGTCTTCTGGGAATGGAACTGTCTGGAATGTCTTCTGGGAATGTCTCTGGGAATGTCCTTCTGGGAAATGTCTTCTGTCTTCTGGGAATGTCTCTGGGTCTTTCTGGAATGTCTTCTGGGAATGTCTTCTGGGAATGTCTTCTCATGGGAATGTCTTCTGGGGGAATGTCTTCTCGGGAATGTCTTCTGGGAATGTCTTCTGGGAATGTCTTCTGGGAATGTCTCTGGGAATGTCTTCTGGGAATGTCTTCTGGGAAATCTTCTGGAATGTCTTCTGGGAATCTTCTTCTGGGAATGTCTTCTGGGAATGTCTCTTGGGAATGTTGGAAATTTCTGGGAATGTCTTCTGGGAATGTCTTCTTGGGAATGTCTTCTGGGAATGTCTTCTGGGTTCTTGGAATGTCTTCTGGGAATGTCTTCTGGGAAATCTTCTGGGAATGTCTTCTGGGAATGTCTTCTGGAATGTCTTCTGGGAATGTCTTTCGATAATGTCTTCTTGCGAATTCTTCTGGGAATGTCTTCTGGGAATGTTCTTCTGGGGGAATGTCTTCTCTGGGAATGTCTTCTGGGAATGTCTCTTCTGGGGAATGTCTTCTGGGAATTGTCTTCTGGGAATGTCTTCTGAATGTCTTCTGGAATGTCTTCTTCTGGGAATGTCTTCTGGAATGTCTTCTGGGAATGGAATGTCTTCTGGGAATGTCTTCTGGGAATATGTTCTTGGAATGTCTTCTGGGAATGTCTTCTGGGAAATCTTCTGGGAATGTCTCTGGAATGTCTTCTGGGAATGTCTTCTGGGAATGTCTTTCGATAATGTCTTCTGGGAATGTCTTCTGGGAATGTCTTCTGGGAATGTCTTCTGGGAATTTCTTTCGAGAATGTCTTCTGTCTTCTGGAATGTCTTCTGAATGTCTTTCGGAAATCTTCTGGGAATGTCTTTCTGGGAATGGGAATGTCTCTCTGGCGAATGTCTTCTGGAATGTCTTCTGGAATGTCTTCTATGTCTCGGAAAATCTTCTGGGAATGTCTTCGGAATGTCTTCTGGGAATGTCTTTCGAATGTCTTCTATGGGGAAATGTCTGAATGTCTTCTGGGAATGTCTTCTGGGAAATCTTCTGGGAATGTCTTCTGGGAATGTCTTCTGGGAATGTCTTCTGGGAATGCGAATGTCTTCTGGGAATGTCTCTGGGAATCTTCTGGAATGTCTTCTGGGATGTCTTCTGGGAATGTCTTCTGGGAATGCTTCTGGAAATCTTCTGGGAATGTCTTCTGGGAAGTCTTCTGGGAATGTCTTCTGGAATGTCTTCTGGGAATGTCTCTCTGGGAATGTCTTCTGGAATGTCTTCTGAATGTCTTTCTTCTTCTGGAATGTCTTCTGGGAATGTGTTCTGGAATGTCTTCTGGGAATGTCCTTCTCGGAAATCTTCTGGAATGTCTTCTGAATGTTCTTCTGGGAATGTCTTCTGGGAATGTCTTTCGATAATGTCTTCTGGGAATGTCTTCTGGAATGTCTTCTGAATGTCTTCTGGGAATGATCTTCTGGGAATTTCGGAATGTCTTCTGGGAATGTCTTCTGGGAATGTCTTCTGGGAATGTCTTCTGGGAATGTCTTTCTCTTCTGGGGAAAAATCTTCTGGAATGTCTTTCTGGGAATGTCTTCTGGGAATGTCTTCTGGAATGGTCTCATGAAATCTTCTGGAATTCTTCTGGAATGTCTTCTGGAATCTGTCTCTGGAATTTCTTCTGGAATGTCTTCTGAATGTCTTCTGGGAAAATCTTCTGGGAATGTCTTCTGGAATGTCTTCTGGGAATGTCTTCTGGGAATGTCTTCGGGTGTCTTCTGGGAATATCTTCTGGGAATGTCTTTGAATTCTTCTGGAATGTCTTTCGAAATGTTCTTCTGGGAATGTCTTCTGGAAATCTGGAATGTCTTCTGGGAATATCTTCTGGGAATGTCCTCTGGGAATGTATTTTGAGAATGATTTCTGGGAATGTCTTTTCAGAATGTCTTCTGGGAATATTTTCTGGGAATATCTTCTGGGAAAGTCTTCTGGAAATGTCTTTCGAGAATGTCTTCTTCTCTGGAATGTCTTCTGAATGTCTGAGAATGGAATGTCTTCTGAGAATTTCTTCTTTGAATGCCCTTTTCAGAATGTCTTCTGGAATGTCCCTGGGAATATATTCTTGGAATGTCTTCTGGGAATGTCTTCTCTTCTGGGAATGTCTTCTGGGAATGTCTTCTGGAATGTCTTCTGGGAATGTCCCCTGGGAAATCTTCTTATGTTCTGGGAATGTCTTCTGGGAATGTCTTCTGGGAATGTCTTCTGGGAATGTCTTCTGGGAATGTCTTTTGAGAATGTCTTCTGGGAAAGTTTTCTGTAAAAGTTTTCTAGAAAAAACTTCTAGGAATATAATCTACAAATGTTTTCTTAGGATTATTTTTGGAAAAAACTTTTTGTAAATTAATCTGAGAATTTTCTCAGGGATTGTCTGCGGGAAGTTTCTGCAAGAAGTGTCTGTGTGAAGTCTGTGGAACAGTCTTTGAGGAGTGCTTTTGGGAAAAGAAAAGAAAGTTGGGAAGGGGGGAAAGAAGGAGAAGGAAGGGGAGAAGAAGGAGGAGAAAGGGGAGGTCCATAGGAGGTAGGCGGTGTCTCTGACCTCACACAAATTGTCCATGGTAACCGGAGCGAGAGGGAGCACTCAAGTCCATCTCTACAAGGCACAAACATCATTAAAACTCCCCCTCCCCCTCTTAACCGCCAACCTCGAAAATACTTTCAGGGTCGTGGCGGCAAGACTGCAATAATCATCATACTCATTGTTGCATTGTTGGCGTGATATGGGGGTCCCCTTATGAATAATGAACAGGGCCCCACGTAGGACTCCGAATAATGGAGAGCGATTGAGCATTAGCACAAGCGCGTTCCTTCAATCATTCATGAGAGGGCGAGGCGGGGAAGGAGGAGGAGGAGGAGGAGGAGGAGGAGAGTAAGTGGAGGGGAGGGAAGAGAGGAGGAGGAGGAGGAGTAAGTGGAAGGGGAGGGGAAGAGAGAGGAGGAGGAGGAGTAAGGAAGGGAGGGAAAAAGGGGAAGGAGGAGGAGTAAGTGGAAGGGAGGGGAAACGAGGAGGAGGAGGAACAGAGGGAGGAGGGGAGGAGGGGAGGGGGAGGGGAGGGGAGGGGAGAGGGAAGAAGAAAATAGAGGAAGGGAGAAGCTAAAGGGAATGGGGAGGATGTGGAGGAGGAAGAGGAAGAGAAGGAATAAAGGAGGGGCGGAGGAGGAGGAGGAGAATTTAGAGAAATAAGAGAAATACGAGGAAGAGAATTAGGAGGAGAGAAATGAAGAGGAAGAAGAGGAATAATACCGAATGGGACATTAGAAGAAATAGAAGAGAAATGAAGAACAGAAGTTATGAAGATGAATAGGAGGAATAGATGGAGGAGAAGGAGAAAGGGAAGGGGGTTATAGAGCTGCTCTCCTTGGCTTTCTCGTGGATGTAAATGGATATATTTCATAAGATATATCGCCGCCGTTGGCCACGCGGGAGATGAAGAGATATAGTACCACAGCTGCGACAACTGAAGCATGTCGCTTTTGTTTTATTATCATCATGTTTCATTATTATTATCGGCATTGCTATTATTATTGCTACCATCGTTATTGTTATTATCATCATTATCTTTGTTATCATTATAATTATCTTTGTTATTATTATATTATCCTTATTCTTATTCTTACTCTTATTCTTATTGTTATTACCATTATCATTATCATCATAATCAGTATTACTATCATTATTATTCCTGTATTATTAGCATCATTATCAGCATAGTCATTGTTATTGAATTTGTTATTATCATTATCATTATTGTTATTAATATCATTATTATGATTATTATTATTATTATTATTGTTATTATTATTATTATTATTATTATTATTATTATTATTATTATTATTATTATTATTATTATCATCATTATTATTATTATCATTTTTATTATTATCATTATTATTATTATTATTATCATTATTATTATTATTATTATTATTATTATATTATTTATTATTATATCATCATCATTATTATTATTACCACTATCATTATTTTTTTATTATTATCACTATTATTATTTTTTATCATTATCATGATCATTGTTATTACTTTCATTATTATCATTATTACTATTTTCATCGTCACTGATATTTCTATTATCCTTATTAGTATTCTCAATTTCAGTATCATTGTTGTTATCAACATGATGATTATCATTGCCGTAATTATTACTATATCATTATCATTACTATTGTCATTGCTGTTATTATTATCATTACTGTCATCATTTTCATAGTGTTATCATTATCATTATCATTACTCTTATTACTGCTATTATGACTAATATCATTATTATCATTATTATTTTCCTTTATTATTATTATTATTGTTGTTATTATTGTTATTATCATTATTACCATTATCATTATTGATGTTATTATCATTATCATCATTTTCAGTATTATTATCATTATCATAGTTATCATGTCGTTGTTATGATAAAGAAATTAAAAATAAACTATTATTATTATTATTATTGTTATCATTATTATTATCACTATCATTATCATTGTATGCTATAATTACCATTACTATCATTATTATTGTTATCACCATTCTATATTAGTATTGCCATTATTATCATCATTATCCTTATATTCTATTAATGTCATTACTTTTGTTATCATCATTATTATGATTA